CCCCTTGCGGCTGCTGTGTTTTCCAAACATCTCACTCCTTTCATCGTTTCTAAGCCCCTCAGTTTGTTCCTGTGCTGCCTGAGCAAACGCAACCATCACTCTGTGGGACTTGTGCAGCGCACGCTCTCCTCCGTGGGCAACCGTTGGATTTTTTATATATGGTTTAGCTACATGATCCTCTCAGTAGAATATGAACCCTAGGAAAAGATTCCCTAGGAAAAGAGTCCCTAGGAAAATAAATATTTTTGCCTCGTGCCATCAGCCCTGAATAAATAAGTACTTTAAGTGCTTTTAAGTACTGAAGGTCATATTTCAAAAGCACCTGTAGCACCTGCAACATAAAGTCTTACTTGGCAGAAATATCTGAAGATAAAAAAAAATTTAAATAAAGTCACAACATTTTTTAGGAACTGCAGACATCTAAGTGTAAGAGAACTTTAACGCAAATGGTTTTGCAGGTCATAATACTTGAAGAGCCTCACTGCTGTTTAATGCAACCACAGCACAATTTAAGGCTTATTCCATTAAAAAAAAAAAAAAAAAAAAAAAAAAAAAAAAAAAGAGAGAGAGAGAGAGAGAGACCATTGTTCGTTTTTATTTCAGTCATTCTGCATTCTTCTCTTGTCCTTTCTGCTTGGCTATGCTCCTGTAAAGTATTTAAGAAGCATGAAATTGCTAAGAAATGATACTGACACAGCTGTAATATAATGGGCCCACATAGAAATGCACAAACTGGGTTGTGCAATGGACCCTGTGAAGAATCTTTATCTGTAGAATTTGACCAAGTAAAAGATTCAGTTTCAGCCCTGACCAGGTCCAGCACGGACTGGACAAATCAAAGATAAGGTTGTCTGTTCCTCATACTAACCTTGCTTGCACAGCAGCTCAACTCATTCTGTCCTTCCCAGGACTTCATTTCTCCTGACTTTTCTGCAGGACTAAGAGAAATCTAACACAAAAGGAAGATGCTTTTTAATTTGAGGAACTTCTTCAGTGTTTCAATTTTATCAAAGAGCAGCAAGCATCTGGTGCGACATTTTTGGTAAGCTTATCCTGGAGATTTCTGGCAATCACTGACATTGAAACAGGAATTTGGAGATGAAAGCAATTGAATTCTGTAAATAGGTAAATGTTTTGGATAACAAGGCTTCTGCTAGGGTGTTTGCCTTCTGAGGCAGCAAGCTCTGAGTCCCTGTGAGAGCAAAGGATTTTTCTTTTAATGTTTGTGAATTCTTTCCATCCGGTTTAGCGGCACATGGGGAAAAACGTGCTGTTTTCTTCTTGAGTTCAGTACACACTGCAGGTACTTGTAAACAATAAATAAATATCTGAATAAGGTAAAGGAAATTCTGAAGCGTTCGGACAAATATTTGAGTATGGGGGAGAGAATTCCCTTCTTGAAGCTGAAAGGTGAATCTCAGCTTCAGCATTCATTTATTTGCATATGTGCATGAGGCAGGTGGGAAGAGCAGTATGTGATGTGAAGTCCAAAATCAAACTTCTAGACCTGAAAACCTGACTTTGGATTCTTTCTTCGGTGGCATAGATTTTGCCATTCCGTGTGACTTCACAAAAACATCTATCACAATGTTTCAGTGAGCCATTTCTAATGGTTGTCACACCTCAAGAGTCAAGATGAAATTAAAGACTTGAAGTTTAATTCTACACTTAAATCAACTGGAAAACAAATATTTTCCAAGTTATGTGATTCAGTTACTATGGTTTTAAAGTAGTTCTGAAGCCTGAGTGATATTTTCTTTATATAGATTTTGAGTTTCCACTACTGGCAATTGGTGGAAACTTTCTCTGATTAGCAGAGATGACAGAAAAACAATTGTGGAAAACAACTTCTAATTTATTAGACTTTCCATCTAATAATTGGATCTTATTTTAGAGTTCCGTTTTTATGTTTTATATCGTATTGCTAACATAAGCTATCATCACTGGCTGTGAACAAGTTAACGTTGATACCCACGATAACCCAAGATGTAGCAATCTGTGCTAAAGATCCTGAGCAGTTGCTGTCCCAGCTCCGAAGAAAATAAGCCAACTGTTTGACTTGCTATTCTGCCTGTTACATTTTAACTTTGGTATGTTATCTTGTGCCCCTTCTCTGGAATTTATTTGACCACTCATGTCTGTGTTTCAGACGATGGGGACAATAGGGAGAACACATTTCTGAAGGTCATAGCAGTAAAACAGAATCATCATCACGGGAACAGAGAAATGTTGGCAGGAAAGGATTTCTATCACAACTTGCTCATTGTAGTATGACAACAGCAGATCAGGCCAGTTACAGATTAGCTTACCATGAAAATATCTAGGAATGGTGATTCCAAATTCTGAGTAACTGATTTTAGTGCTATTTTATATATCGGTGTAGAAGTTTCAGAGATGGATGCTTCTCAGTACACCTCTCAGTAAGGCTAAATAGTAAAACAAGAGGTCACAAACAGGAGTTTCTCTTTGGGAGGTTTAGAGCAGACAATCTTTTCAGCTGCCTTCAAGTAATCATAGGCCGTAATTAGAAATTCAAAGAGCAGCTGAGGACTAGAAACAGTTCAACGAAGGACAGCAGAGTGACCAAGAAGCAAGCAATTGCATAGACAAGAACAGTACAGGTGAGCATTTTTTGTTCCCCAAAATTAGACTAAGCATGCCAGTGTTCTGGGGGTGAAAAATGAGAACATAAAATTAGGAAATTGCATTTTCTTCAGAATTCAGAACACTGAAAATAGAGCAAATCTCTTGTAAGTCTGAGTTTTCCAGGCTTGATGTCATTGGTTTGTGTTGGTAGGCTGTTTTTCATTCTAGAGTGGAAGCTGCCTCACACATGTGAATGACCAAACTTTCTACAAATGCCAGGTATATCCCACTCTGTGGGTACTGGATATAGAAGTGCATGGAATCATTTTCATGGCCTTGTATTTTGTTATCACTTCGCTTTCTGGAATGGGCATATGGGTGCTTTCTAACTTTTCTAGGTTGCTTACCTGTGTTTGAAGACAGAAACAGTTACAGCAAAACATGTAACGTTACCTCATTAAAGGTCATGATGGTGTCAAACTTAGTTTTTATGGCTTGGAAATGTACATTATTACTTTAAGTAATGTAAATGCACTTTATTACTTTGACCAATATTTATTACTGAAGTCATATATACAATTTAGATTGTATTTTACCTATGAATCCAGTTTCAGGGATGACATGTAAGAAAATACATACACAGAATTACTGTAAACTTTGACAGCAAGAAATCCATTCCTTTGTCTGCTTAGTGCTTCAGACAGGTCCAGCCCTCCAGCAGTCTGGGGCTGTGCAGAGGCCGGATTCTGATCACACGCTTTGATGGGAATCTTTGTAGTGCCCTGTGCGTAGCTTAGTGGTGAATCCTGTGGTATTCCGTAAAACCTCTGGAGCTCATTGCTCTCTTATATGACAGCAGGTACTGACTTCCAGGAGTGTTAACATCCATGGCATCTGCATTGCATGTTCTGCTTCTTCAAACCTTCTCCATATTTCTGCAGTTAAACATCATTATTTTCATCACTACCAAAAAGAAGCCTTCATAATAGGGCTGGTAAAATGCATGGCTACAGCACTTTTAAGATGTCTAAATGGAAAATACACAGCATTTAAATATTTCAAAATAAAGGAAAAATTCTGCAATTTGTTTTAAAAAATCATGCAATTTGTGCTGGGATATCAAATGGACAGTGATAATGTGCACTATTACTTTTAGAGCTGTGGTCTTCTACATTCAATTTCAGTCTGAGTTTATTCAACCAAATTAAGAGGAAAAAAGAGTCCCCCCCGGCAGGTTTAACTAATGAAATGCTAAAATCTCTAGAAGCCACTATAGGCCTTATGTACTTGCCACCCAGGCTTTGATCCATCAGAATTGACTTGAAACATGAACAGAAACTCTCTCTTAACAGTGACAGAGAAGGGACTGAACTGTCACTTGCCATTACCAGACTTAAGCCTGCAGAAATCCTGGCTTGGTCTCCACTGTTTCCTTACGACATGTCATCTAAGCTCACGGAATCTGTGGGATTATCAGCATTCAGTTTCACTTGATTCTAAAACCAGCTTCTCACATTGAGAAGTCTGGCTGGGTGCTCTGCGCACATGGAGTAAAAGCGCTGCTTGCACCCCGACTGCTTTCTGTGTGACAGGAAAAGGGCCAGGGCATGTGGCTCTCCTGCTATTTTTAAATGTGGCTACCTCATTCCCCAGTACAAGGCAGAACCAAGAGATTTCACACACAGAAATGCCGTCTTTTATGAGCATGAGGGTGGCATGTGCCAAGTGTGCTATCTATCCCCAAAGTGTGCAAGGGAAGGAGCAGCACCAAGATCAGTTGCCCATGTGCCCTGAAGGAAAGACATGCAGTCTAGTCTTAAGTCATTTCACAAAGCCCTGAATGGTTTATGCATTTAGGTTTGTTTGAATAGGCGGCACAGTCAAGTCATACACATATCGCAGGGCCAAAAAATTACATCTGATGCACAGATTATAATACAGTTTGAAAAGCTGTTACTGTGGCAATCAACAGAGTGAACTGCCTCCACAGGACAGTAGAAGTTATTAAAATTAAATAACACAGGCCATCAGGTCTGTCCAGCTGGGGGGGAATGAGGGGTTTGCAGCAAGACAAATTTCAGCTACTTGCTCTTTTGCAAGAGCAGGATTTTTTGCCAAATGACAAAAAAAAAAAGCGTGCTTTGGTTGCTCTTTTGATGCAGGTATGGACAACCAGCACTAATGAATGTTCATCTGAAAGGCCGTGACCTCCTCACTCTACAGAATTACACAGCAGATGAACTCAAGTATTTGCTCTGGATGGCCTCAGATTTGAAACAAAGAATAAAACACAATGGAGAGGTAAAATGCTTTAGCTCTCATTTAGGTCACAGAGAAGACAAAAATAAAGGCTCTTATGAAAGAGACTGGGAATCAAACATTTAGCTGGCTTGCTCACAACATCAGCACTTAACACCTTAAATACTGTAAATGAGGTACCACAAATCAAAGCAGCTTCCTGCAAAATGTTCAAAGATGTTCTTCACATACTTCAGTGGATTTTGCTAGTGGAAAGGTTCCTTGGCTTTGTACAGCTAGCTGTTACTGGCTAACCCCATTCATCTACACACGCTGTACATGCAGCACTGAGTGGGGTAGGAACTGAAAGACAATTCCTTGAAATTAATCTAAGAGTTTTCCTTAATGCTAGCTCAAATCAAGCCTCCAAGTACAATCACCTTTTGTCCCAAATTAGCTCTTTCTTTCTAACCTTCCTCATTGCTGATAACATATTTGAAGGACAAAAGTACAGAACTATGGTAAAGAAAATTATCATTATACTGATGGATTAAAAAGTGAAAGAATTTCACTTTTCACAAAGGAAGTATGTAATGGTTATAAAACTGAACTGCCTTCTATTCCTGTTTTCCAGTATTTGCCTTTGATGCAAGGAAAATCTTTGGCCATGATTTTTGAGAAGAGAAGCACAAGAACAAGATTATCTACAGAAACAGGTAGGTCAAATCAACGATCAGATTTATTTGAAACTCTGTGCTGTGAATATGTATGTACTGAAAAAGACTACATGATGTTGTATTTAGGAGCTTCTACTCAGAAGTTGGAAAGTTGGAAAGCATAAATTGGAAAAGAATGGTAGCTAATTGTGTTTCACCTTGCCTATTAATATTACAGACACATCCCTTTGATCACTGAAATTCCCCAAGTTCATTCCAAAATGAGAAAGATTAGAAATAAAATAAAAGGCCTAAGTAAGTGTTTCTGATGTGAGCTTCCAGTCATATTAGCAGGATGCACACTTTCCTAACACACATTTTAGTAAGCATCTCAAATTTAATCCTAAGCAAGCTCTAATAAATATCTTTCTAATGTATTATGCATTACCGTTGTCACATTCCAGAGTATGTGTTTAGACTGGGAATCACAGTAATGCCTCGATGTAGATTAGGGAAAAAAGAAACTTAACATGATTACCTACAGGAGAAGATAACTTGATGGAGACTCCTGGGTATTAGCCTAATAAGATCAGGCCCTAGAACATTCTTCTTTCAGGATACAGTCCTGCAAACACTGAAACACATCTTTATTGACAAAGTAGTGGCTCTGAAGTCAGTGGGACCACTGAAATAAATAATCCATGTGTTTGTGTTAGCAATATTGTCTCTGTATTTTGTCGCTGTCCATTCTAACTTCACGCCTCAGGATTCGGTACAGGCTGGTGTCTGGTTTTGGGTACATTTTTACTCATTGGGGAAGGAGAACCTTGCCCTTCTCATGTTTAGATTGACCCAATATTCCTTAGACTGACTGCTTGCTAGTGAAGGGACAGGAAATACATTGACTATTCACGTTTTTCTATAAAATTGAGTGCCGGAACATAAAAGTAATGGGCGGAAGATGCAAGTAGATCATGGGCAACAAATTCTGAGTTTGCTGTCATGTCCTCTGGCACAGGGTTTTGTTTGCTGATCCTGCACTTGTTCTCCTCAGATAAGCAGGACTTAGGTATGCGTTTTTATCTGGATTTCTCTCCCTGTGAAACCAGCCCACCTTTGAACTCTGGAGTTCTTAGGCCACTTTGTAACTGCCTGCCATCCTGGTACATGGGCAGGGAATCATGAATTCTCTGAACCTGTTTATCCTTCTTGCTTATATATTCTGACAGAAGCATTATTTTGGCCCTGACTTTTCAAGGCTTATGGAAAAGAGCAGCTAAGGAAAGTTCAAATGAATTAGCTTAAGGCTGGGAGTTAATGCACATAAATTCATCTTAGGATTAAGCTCCAGTGAAAAAAAAAAGACCATTTATTTTTGAGTAAGAGCTTCCCACAAGGGACTTTAATACAGTTTAACGTATATGAATTAACTTCACACCTTGGGTTAATTGGTCTTAAGTCCTTAAGCCTAAAACTTTTATTCAAGGGCAGATTCTTTTTTTTTTTTTTTCAGGCGGGGGAAATTCTATACATTTCAGCTGCTTTTTGATTTACGTAAGTTCTCCCTTGGAATTTCTAATTTAAAGCAAATGTGGGGTCACACATGTTCCTTTTAGCTAAATGAAGTAATTTCACACCAGTTTTCTAATGTCCAGTGAAGAATGAAATGTTTATTTATAAAATACACAAATCGTCTCAAATTGCATTTCCCAAGAGCTGTACTTTCAAGATCTTGGAAAAGGTCATTTTTGGGACAAAACTCTGGTGATCAGATTGATATGAATAAACTTTGCAACGCTCAGAAAATTTAAGATGAAAATCAATGTATTTCATTAAAAAGAAGTAGTGTTTAGGAAAGCATTGGTTACAAAATCTACTCTTTGCAGTGTCTAGTAAATTATTGCTGTATATTAACATTGTGAAGGCCTTTTTGAAAGTCCTGTTGTCCCTACACCTCTAAACTCCACACTTGAAATGAATAAACATTAATTTGCAATGCACTGTAAAGAAGAGTTGGCATTTTGTGTCTCTAAATTACGTTATTCCAATGGTATTGGAACTGTATGGAATAATATTCTGATCCTTGTCGTATAATTCCTCAATTCCTTACTCTTTTGAACAAATATAATCTCGTCCTAATTAATATTTCCAAAATTCATATTATTTTTACATTTTTTTAAGACTACTAATTGTTTTTCAAGTTTAATGAAAAACTACAAATAGTTTTCATAGCATATTGGCAAAATAAATCCATTTTCGCTGAGCCTGATAAATTTATTACTATCACTGACTATTATATTAGAAAATGTGCCACTGGTGCTATTAAATTGGAAAATATGTCATCTGTTTGCAATCAGAATCCCAAACCCATTCTATATAAAATCTTGCGTAACTTTTTAGAACAAAGATATTCCACATGGTCATATATATTACTTATAAAATAAACATCCTCAGGCATGGTATAAACGTGAATACCCTGTTTGTGTTATAGCTTTTGTGTAAAATATGCTGGTTGTCACTGATACTCTTGAAATACATAGTTGCAGTTGCTTTTCAGTGAGGAAATTAGAAATAAATCCAACCATTTCACAGATGCTGAATGCAGAAAATATGTCACAAATGGAGAGGAAATAACATAGGCAGGAAATAAATAATATAATAGCTCTGTATACCTTCTTTCATTATGTGTTGGAGACCCGGCTTCTGATGCCTTTATAGAGACGTACTTCCACGGGCTTTAGTGGTTTTACTCCCAGGCCACAGTGGCGTGAGGGGAAAATTAAGCCCATGTCTGAAGTTGCATCACTTCACATATTCCAATGTACTTGACAGGGAAGGAAGAGTATGTTATTTAGTTAGAATGGTGAGTATTATGTAGCTTGGCTACATTACAAAGGGGGCAAGAGGTCTCTGTTATCTCACTAGCTGCTTAGACTGATACTTTAAAAAATATTATTAGGGTTTGGTCTTCTGCTTGAGAACTGTTCCTGTAATTGCTGTTTAAAGGGTTCATACTTATCAGTCTAGGCATATAGAAACTTGTAGATTATAGGTCTTGGTGGGCAGTGAGTAAAACTAAACTGGCAAATCCAAATCTAGATGTCTTGCAATGTTAAAAAAAAAAAAAAAAGAGTTGCTTTCTCTGCAACTATATTCAAAAATACAATACAAAGCTCCTGTGTCTCCAGATGGAAAATTTTGGATGGAAATACGTTCTCGAACCCTGCACAGATGGCTGGTTCATGAGAAGAAAGTCCAGCACCATAGGACTCTGCTGTGTACATGAGCTCCAGGTGGGAGCTCTGACTGGGTTACCTGATGTCTGACAATTCTAGGTAAATGGTCTGATTCCTGTTTTCCGTTAATAGAAAAGCAGGACATGTCCATGGGAGCCTAGGATATGAAGAACTGACTGAAGTGTATTCATTTAGAAGCCTGAAGTGCAGAACTGTTGTATTCTGTGGAACATGCAGATATAAATCACTGATATAATCATATATGTGACTTTGAAAAATAACTGCAGAAAAGCTGGGAAGCTACTATGGATGACTTCTCATCCTTGAAGTCTTGACTTAAAAACCTGTCTTGAATAGATGGTCAGTAATGCCCAGGCTACGGCTCACATGCACATTCTCACAAACACCGTGTTCGTGTCTGTGCTGCGGAGAGTTGGTCAAAGTGTCTGGGGAAACCTAAAAAAACCCTACTGCCTTAATGCAAAAGGCTTCTGCAAAGACATGAAAGGAAGGCAGTGCAACCAGCAAATTTATGCTTTTATAAGGATAAATAATACTAACAAACTTAGTAATATTTCACTCTTTAAAACTTGCTGAGTCTGCCTCTAATTATCGTGAATTGGGGAAACCCCAAAGTAAATGACGGCCAAGTGAAAATCAGGCCCACTGAATAACATGAACCTGCTCCAGCTCCATGGGGAGGGACTGGCCCTTTAGAAGGGGTCTGGTGCAGTGTTCCTGGAGCAGTCAAAAGACAGTGACTTGCTCATGTTGTTTTTATCCATTTGGTTTTAAAGCCCAGTCTTAACCTGTCGGGTCTGTAGTGTCTGTTGGTCCTGCCGTGCGTGGGAGGCCTCTCACGGGGGCTGCCCTGTGGCTGTGCCGGGCAGGAAGAAAGAGCCTTAGGAAGGGTGGGATCAGCCCTGGCCTGGGGCCTCGGTGGGTTCTTCTCTGGGAAGTTTCGCTGTGCGTTCCTGGTCCGTGGTTTTTGAACAGTTTTAGCTGTGGTACCCACTTCACCCCGTGCTGGAGTGGCAGTCGTAGCCATGTTTGCAGTGCCACCTCATGGCTAGCTCCAGCTCAAGCAGCTGTCATCTTTTCTGTGTGCTTTACTTGGTGTGGGTAAGGGCACAGAATTTGTTAGCACCTCCACGGGATCGTGCTTTGCTAAAGAGGGACCTCCACTCTGCTGGGCTGTATGCAGCTTTTCTCTTCATGGCAATAAAAATAATGTAGATTTCCTTTAAGATTTTTGTAATTGCTGCTATAGATGCTGACTCCTTCGCATGTTGTTGCTTTGACAAGATCGATCCGTCCACATCAGGATTCTCTACATTTTTCCTCCATGATGGAAATTACAGATAGGGAGAGACTTTCCTGACCATTTATCTGCTAGAAAGATATTGTTTTCATGTCAAAAATTTTAACCAATGCACAGAAAGTGCCCTAGGGAGCTACCTAAAGCCCAGTCCAAATCCTCTGCTTTGCACTTCCCCCGATTTCAAGACTTTTTGTTCTGTGCAACACCTCTGCTAACCTGTTTGTGTCAGTTCCTAAGTCAAAACCCTTGGGGCCATCATGCTGCAGTCTCAGGGAAGGGAAGCAAAAGCACAGAGACTCGAAGCTGTTTTTCTCCCTGTTTGGGTCAGTTGGTTGCTTATAGCAATTTTTTGGTGGTGTTGTGATGGAAACGAGGCAGGACAGAACCTGAGATTGGCCGTTAGGGAGATCTTTACCTTTGTCCAAATGAATATCCAGGCTTCTTCTAAGTTCCCAGAAGTGTGTTATATTCTTAAGCAGTGCTTAGGTCTTGTTTTCTTGTGGAGGAATGGATTTCATTCTTTGGGCCTCATCCAGTTCCTTGGTTTAGTTTGTAAATTCCTTCCTATTGTAAGAGAAGGGAATGCAGTCATCACTTGTGATCTTTCCTTCTCTTACCACGCTGTAATTTTTAAGGCACTTTATTGACCAAGCTCTTTTTGGTATAGGACATGAGGGGGCCTATGGTTTTCGAGGTGAATGAATATTTTTGCAGGTCTTCCCGTAGCTTCTTGTGATGGTGTGGAACTAGACTTGTCAACTCAGAAGGACCTTCCTGGTTCTGTGATGCTGAGTGCCTTGAAGCTGATACTGTAGAAATTCAGTGTGATGAATGGATTATCTAGCTCTGAACTGGAACCACAGTAATGCCTTTGATAAGGTGTTGGCTTGCAGCCTGAACGAGTGCTCCTCTGAAAAGAGATCAGAACTGATGGCCAGGGATTCTAGCAAGGTATCATACCTGGCTGTTTTTGTTCTAGATTGCCTTTATTTGTGTTTTGTGAAGTCTGACTTCCAGGGTTTGAAACATTTGCATGCTCTGCTGAGCTTTACTTTTAATGATGGAAATATCTTTTATGTGAGAGAGATATTGAAGCTTAGTTGTAAGTATGTTGTTCTGGTGTTTAACTTCTCTTTTATTTGTCTTCATTGCAGGATTTGCTCTCCTAGGAGGACATCCTTGCTTCCTTACAACACAAGATATACATCTGGGCACTAATGAGAGTCTCACAGATACAGCAAGGTTGGTAAGATGTCATTTGCCTGATTGATAGATGTAAAAGCAAGCATTCTATCAGGCTGAAATGGTTCTTGTATAATTTTATAAGATAATACTTTCTTTCCACAAAATTTCAGGAGGCCTTCCACATTTCTTAAATATTTGCCGGTCAGCTCACAGAATCTGTAGTTCAAAACTTTGTCATTCTATTCATTCTAGCTCTCCAAAACATCTCACCATAGGAGATGTATTTATCAAATCTGGATTTATGGAGTGTCAGTGAGGATAAAAACTCACAGGAACAGAAATGCTTTACAAATTTCAGTTATATAGCTCCAGTAGTGATAGCACATAAAAAAGATTAGAACATTCTAATCTTGTTCTGTTCTGCTACTTCTGGTGGAGCTAAAAGTACAGCTGATTGGAGATCAAAACGAGGGGCTTTATTCATCCCAGACATGCCAGCTGCTGGAGAGCCACTGTATAGGGTGGCACTGAAAGCCAGTGTGGTCTCTTTCTTTCATCAGCATAAAACTGGGCCAAAAATTTGCAGCAGGTTCCCGATTCCTTGTGCCCTCCTCCACTGCTGGACTGGCAGGACTGCTACGCTAACTTTTCCTTCTCTTACCAGCACCGGAAAACCTTGTTCATGCCCAGCCCCCTGGACATGCAGGGATGGGTAGCTAGCACCCTATTCCCATTGCTATAGCATACTTGCTACAGCTCTATTGGCATGAGTGATGATGGATTTTTCAAGTCAAATACATAGCTTACTGTGTTAATTTAGAGGTAAATGCCAAACATCAATCGAAATGAGTATTAGTCTCCAAGTGTCTTCCTGTGGTGCAGAGAGCCACAGTGAGGAGATGGGAACTGCGTGATGGGCAGCAGTACTCATGTGCCAGGGTGGAAAGGTTCAGATCCGGATTTGCACCAGCCAAAAGGAGCTGAAATTCAGAAGGGACTGGGCACATCAGGGCAGTGGGAAATGACGTAGAAATACAGTGTCCCAGTTGGGAAAGAGTTACTTGAAGTTCCAAAACAGAATGATGTAGGATTGCAGAGCAGTCAAAGGTGAGTGGTGAAGCTAAAGAAAGGAGGGATTTACCAGAGGCAACATGAAATTTCCCTGTGGCATTTGTGCATGTGAAGGGAAAAACACATGGTGAGAGACTGCAGGGCAATGTGTTGGGGCACCAGGAGGCCAGGGGCTCCTTGCAGGGCAGGGCCTGCCCCATCTCACAGCCCTGCAAAGGAGTAGAGCAGTGCGGGGCAGCCCCAGCCACTGGCACTGGGCACTGCCAAAGGGACTGAGGCTGCTCCGGGGGCATCACCCGTGGTTTGGGATTGAGATAGGCACAGAAGCAGGTACAATGCAGTAGGACCTGTAGCAAAAGGAGAAGCAAGCAAATCCTCAGAGGAGTCCTCCATTCTCTGGAGAAAATCCTACACCACCAGCCTCCCTTTCCAGCTTCCATCCCCTCTTGTTCTTCCTTATTGATGACCCAAACCTGGGGATTTTACATCTCTGCTACAGTGGTGTGAGTGCTGTCGGTTTTCCCAAGATTTTATAGAGCCCCCCACACTCTGCTCCACTCCTGCTCTCATTAGCAGTATTACTATTGACTTTACATAATTAAGACTGAGCTGTTTACTCAAAAGAACATCTAAGTATTTATTCCTTGGCATTTCCTGTGAATGAAGGATGATATGCCAACTTTATTCAATTAATATGAGAATAAAAATAATTTTAAAAAAAGAATGTATAGACCCAGAGGGTATTTCGATTATTTACAGCTTTGTGTCAGGGGCTCTAGAGGCTTTTGAAGTATTTAAGATTGAGACTTACAGCAAAGGGGACACAAGATTGTAAAGGTCCCAGATTTATATTATAATTGGTGCAGGTAAGTGTTGAAAGCATTTCTGTTGTGAATGTATTTTGAATGACTTATTACTTGGCCATAATACAGTTCTTCGTGCTTCACAAAACATTTATATTTGCACTGACACAAGAGCAAAACTTACCTCCCATTAAGGAGCTCTAAGCCTTTCAGTGCTGTTCAGCATGTCTGGTATATTACATGAAATGAAAAATGAGGAAAGCAGTTCATTTGTGCGCCACTATACTCAGTGACTTTTAACAGTTCACTGAGATTACTGTGGGACAACTCGTCTATGGGGAATGGCTTTTATAATTTTTAAGCTTTTTCACCATTTACTGAGAACAAGTCTGCACAAAGTCCCCATAAGAGTATCTATAGCAATAAAATAAGTAGTCTTGTTAGAAAATTAAACCCCCGAGTTAATACTTTCTTTCAAGACAGAAAATAAGGTATCCAAATCTTGGAACAGTAACATTCTACCCTAAACATATGTGAATGTCCCCAAAGTAACAATGCTATGTTAAAATCCAGAGATCTGCAACAAAAAAGAATGTTTTTATTTGTGTTTAATCATGGAGTCCTTAGAGGATACGTCTGAGTAATATTTTCTAGCTTGGCACCATAGAAATTATTCTGCAATGCTAACTTATTTTGCCAAGATAAAAAATACAGAAATGCAGCTTTCCAATATATTCATATATTTCCAAGCTCTAAGATTGGGTAGCTAACAAGTTCAAAATCTTATGAAAAGAAAGAAAGAAAGAAAGAAAGAAAGAAAGAAAGAAAGAAAGAAAGAAAGAAAGAAAGAAAGAAAGAAAGAAAGAAAGAAAGAAAGAAAGA